TGGATTCAACCATTGTGGTGGAGGCAGAGTGAGGTGAAATGACTGAATCAAACTAGCTTCTTACTCTAGGACCACCTCTGAATGGACTCAACCTGAGGTGGAGGCAGAGTGAGGTGAAATGACTGAATCAAACTAGCTTTTTACTCTAGGACCACCTCTGAATGGACTCAACCATTGAGGTGGAGGCAGAGTGAGGTGAAATGACTGAATCAAACTAGCTTCTTACTCTAGGACCACCTCTGAATGGACTCAACCATTGAGGTGGAGGCAGAGTGAGGTGAAATGACTGAATCAAACTAGCTTCTTACTCTAGGACCACCTCTGAATGGACTCAACCATTGAGGTGGAGGTAGAGTGAGGTGAAATGACTGAATCAAACTAGCCTCTTACTCTTGGACCACCTCTGAATGGATTCAACCATTGAGGTGGAGGCAGAGTGAGGTGAAATGACTGAATCAAACTAGCTTCTTATTCTTGGACCACCTCTGAATGGTTTCAACCATTGTGGCAGAGGTGGGGGTGAAAAAGACCCTTATAATAATTCTGGCACCCTCACAGTTATTTCAGGGAGAAGCTTTTCAAATGAACTCAGAAATAGGCTTCTTGGGGAAGCCATGTTCTTGCTGAATGCACAGACTCAGGAAACTACTCTACATTTCTTGTCATGTTTCAAGTTATTAAAGTAGTATGCCATGGAAAATAGCATTTATTATTATCCCAGTCATTTTGGAAGTTAGCTGCAAGTCAGAACTCAACTGACAACATAATAATAGAATGTAATATATATATTAGATAAATTAAAAATAAAAATGAAATTTAAAGCAATTTCCTATGCCTATGCATGCAGCAAAATCAGGGCGTCTCTAGGAGCCTCTTTCTGAGTTCTCCTGAACCGCTTCTCACACAAAAAAACTGTGAAGGTGCCAGACATAAGAAAAAAAGGTCTATAGCAAATCAAACCAGCTGCTTGGAATAACACCTGGTCTTGTTTATAAATTACTTCTTGTACTCTGTTTTGTGGTGACTTTGATATGAGGTGATAAGGCATTTGCTGCTGCATGATGGAAGGATCTTATGGAGTAATTGATCTAATTCAAATGATTGGCTGGTCACTTTCAGTTGTTCACATTATTCTTTGGGAGGCTGTATTTTGTTTACTGCTAAATACTAACATGCTCTAGCACTGTGTGTTCACCAAATGTTTTATTAATACACAATTCCCTAAATGGAATCACACTTCCATATTCTTAAAAGCTTCTTTGAAGAAAATCAATATGTCAGCTGTATTGGTACAAATAAGCTGCATAGACAATATGATTACAGATTGGAATAAGATGCATTTCCAATTGAAAACCCCATGGTATCTTATACTTACACTGTATATAGCTCCCAAGCCCAAATGTGAACAACTGAATCAGTGAGATTTACACACTCACATAAAAGAGCATTTTACATTTGTACCCCTCTATTCTACAGGTTTACAAGTAGTGCTGAATTCCATTTTGCGGGCGATGGTGCCTCTCTTACATATCGGCCTTTTAGTTATCTTTGTGATTATCATCTACGCAATTATTGGCTTAGAACTTTTCTCAGGGAAAATGCATAAAACCTGCTTTGATCTTAAAACAGGTAAGTGTCAAAAGGTCTACTTACACATCACAAGCACATCAGGTATGCTATTATGTCTGTCATGTGCAGATAACAGTAGTGTAGTTATCTGATGGTGTCTTGTACTGTGAATACAAGACATTTGCAGAGTTCCAACTACAATGTTGAGAAGACTAAAGTTGATAACATTGCCTTGGCCTATAGGCATAATATAGGGTATATGTGGGTACAGCAAAGCAAACTTGTTTGGCATCAAAGCAATTGAGACTATGAAGTACAAGCCCTACATTTGTATAAAACTGTGGTTTTGGGGATGGACGAGTAGATGATGAAGTGTGGATTGTTCTTAATGGGGGTGGGGGTGGGTATTAAGTGTTTGGGGTGGGTTGTGTGGTTAGTGTTTGGGTGGGTTGTGTGGTTAGATGTTTGGGTGGGTTAGATGTTTGGGGTGGGTTGTGTGGTTATTGTTTTGGGTGGGTTAGGTGTTA